CCATCTCCAGATTAATATATATGCGAGCTACGTAATATTGGTCCGAATTAATTAAAGTAGATAATTACCAAGCAATTAAGAACTAGTATATCCCCCTTTACTTTAAAGATAAATGAAAAGCTTAGCTTTTTAGCATTGGTGGATGCCAGATCCTCTAAGACTGATATATCAAAAAATGGTATATTTCGTCACTTTAATTGGTCCACTTCTAATTATTGTAATACTTAAATTGATACAGCTTTCCATATATTCCATATATTCCCTGGTTATCCCTTCTTGACTCCCGATTACAATGCCAATAGTAACAGATTTAGGAAACATTAACTTTTAACGTTTGACTTACAGCCGTATTAGGTTGATATTGTTAGTGAATATGTCATTTGGCAAGTCCTCCAAATGATTGTTGTCCAACCGCCTGTCAACAAATGAGTCGAGTAAGTACTTTTAAATGGCTAAAATGTTTTGGGAAAGAACGAAGGATACTTAAGCAGCAATAAATTTAAACTTTCAGGCGCATCTGTCAGATCCATAAATCAATTTCGCTCTTCGTTCGTGGTTATCGTTTAAAACATTCACCATTAGCCATAAGCCAATCAACTGAATTAAACAGATTGATGTCGTCCTGGATTTACTAAGATAGTGTTTATGTAAAAAAGGTTGTGCTTGTTTATCAAAGCGGAACATCCAGCTTTACAAGAAGACCAGAAACCAGAAGGCCTTATCACCTGATGAAGAGAAGCAGTATCCCGTCGAAACGTCGAGATTCAAATCATAAGTGACCATATCGTGAAACAAACGATAACACTTTATCATTATAATGTTTGTAATTTACAGAATAGCTTTTTCTTAATCATGATTATTACCAAATATGACCTTGACTCATTTGTGAAAGAAGTGAAACTATATCAAAAAGTATGTGCCTTTACTCATGTATGGCTAGATTATAGTTTTTCGGGAAAAATCATCTCACTGAGAGATGGTAATAGCACTCGAAGTTAGTTTTCATCCAGAACACGACCGTGAAAAATCCTCCTTATGTCAGTCGACTATATAATAATTTTTTGAGATAATCCTAAACATATTATCAGATGAGAGCTAGAGTTTACTCCAAGCAAACCAGTCAACTGAAAATTCCCTGTTCAACGCTAGAAAGGTACGGATTGCTCATACGACCTCTCTCAATACAGCAAAGTATCTTATGACTAATCCCAGACTGCTGGCAAAACTCGTCATTTACAAAAAAAAGCAAACTAACAAAGATAAAATATTCCCACCTCACCTCCCGACAGATGTTCGGAGAACCGCTGTGGTGATACATATGGCATTACAAGGGCCCTTCAATGGGGCCCTCAGTGCCTTGTATTGCAATTTCAGAAAAAACTTTTTCGTGTTGTCGTTAAAACTTTTGGGGGAAAATAACTTAATATGCGCTTCCAATGTTCGATAATGTCCAAAGCTTGCTCCAGCGGTTTTTTTTTTTCTCATTAACTCCGATATTTAACAATTATTCGCCAAAGGCGAGGTGAATATCGTCGAATAATCCCCGAGACGAAGTCGAGGGGATTATTCGACAATATTCACCGAACCTGAGGCGAACAATTGTTTTAGTCATAGTTAGTCCCCTCTACTAACTATGTTTTAGTATAATTTCAGAGCTGAACAACAGAGAAATCCGTAAAATCATAACATTTTAGTAACATCTATTAACATTTTCGTTTGACATTTTATATAAACCGCGCGGAGCGGTTTATATAGCGTCATATAAGGAACCGCTCGACTAATCAGATTGATGGGAACTCTTTGCTCAGCTCTGAAATTATACTAAATGTATATATAAGCCTTTTTTTGTTTTATTGGGTTTTCTTTTCTAACAGACCGGTCAGTGTTTTCTATTTCGTTGTTTTTTTGTTTTGTTTTTTCAAGGAAACTTATATGGAAAAGCGTTTAAATGCGAAATTTAGGAGTGCAGTGATTGAGAAAGTGGCAAATCAAGGAGACTAGAAAAGGTCTATGGAAAATTTTAAAATCGCTGTAAAATCGCTGCTCAGATCTGATGATATTATCGCTGAAGCGGGATGAATTTAACGCCGTTTTTACTTAAAGTGCTACTGAGACCAAATTTAGCGTTTGCCAGATTTTTCACTTTTAGAAAGTGACTTTTCTGTTTCTCCTGTTAATACAGAAGACTTTTCATAATTAGAATACTCTGAAGGACAGGAATATGACATGTCATGAACCTCATGTCGGTAAACATCGGTCTACCCAGCTCTTTCTCTAGAAAGATACTGAATAGACATCTTGACTCAAAAAAATGAACCTTGACAGACCATATGAAAATTTTAAAAGGATCTTAAGGTTTGAAAGTAGAACTGATGCATATTTGTTGAAAAGAAGACGCATATTTATATAAAAGGGCTATTCTTTAAATGGTTTCTTCCTTTAGAGAAAATTTAGAAGGCTGGCCTTTTTTGATTAAATTATAATTGTGCTTTTGTTTTCAGGAATCGTAATTTTGAAGGTTCAACTGTTGGAAAGGCATCAGTTTTGGCCATGTGTGGAGACCGCTCTGGTGGTGTTGTCCAGGTACATGTTATTAAAATTATAGTAATCTTAGGATAACATAATTTTGGTCATGGCCTCGACATCTGGTAGTCAGCAATCTTCTGGTTCATGGGCTGCTGCACCGATCTATAGCACCACATTACCGCTAGCCAAACCTCCAGATCCTCTTAATCTCGAAAACAGGTTAGACGTGGAGGCGATAAGAGGTTAGACAGGTTAGACGTAGAGGCGATAAGAGGCGATAGAAGACAGGTTATCGTAAAGGCGATTACTGGTTACACTCTAGGAGGGCATGGCAAATCTATGAACGGGCGGCTGGAATCAGTCAAAAAGACGGCCCAGTCCATGTTGCTCATTTTCTTAACATCGCTGAAAGAGAAGGAGTCCATTTCTTTGACACCCTTACCTTCACTGAAGACGAAAGCGCTGACAATATTGATGACGTCCTGGCTAAATTTGAATCTCGTCGTCTGCCGCAACGAAATCATACGTATGAACGATACCTCTTCAGCAAGAGAGAGCAAGAACCAGGAGAAAGTGTCGATCAATATTGCACAGCACTGATGCGCCTTTCTGAACACTGTGGGTTCGTGACCCTAAGAGACAGCTTGATAAGAGACCGCCTCATCCTTGGAGTCAAGAATGATCGATCACGCAAGAAACTTCTAGAAAGATCTCACTTTGGATAACGCCTTGGATATTTTGCGAACATTAGAGTTAACTGATATACGCACATTAGACATGACAACTGAAGAAGCTAATGTGAATAGGGTAAAGGCCAAGAAAACGAAACCGCCTAAGACCCAGACTGAGGATNACGCGCTGGCTGGCCTACAAAAACGTCCATGGTACCTACAAGCGCACAGCCTTTCTTCAAATACCGAGATGAAATGACGCTCCAAAATGGCCTAGTTTTTAAAGGAACGAAGATCGTTGTCCCAGAGAGCCTTCGCCGTGATATGATAGAGGAAACACACAAGTCTCATCAGAGACTCCAAGCATGCCTTCGAAGGGCCAGAGAGGTTTTCTTCTGGCCAGGAATGTCTGCACAATTCAAGAATCGTATTGGTAAATGCTCTATATGCCAATGTGTGAGACTTGAACAAGCCAGCGAGCCCCTTCAGCCTCACCAAGTTCTTGACAGGCCATGGCAACGAGTTGAAACAGATTTGCTTACCTTCGAGAACCGAGACTACCTTGTATTAGTTGATTACTACAGCAACTTTATCGAGCTGGATCATCTTGCCGACCCTTCGTCCCAGACAGTCATTCACAAGCTAAAGATGCATTTTTCGCGACATGGGGTACCCGATTACGTAGTTTCTGACAATGGTCCTCAGTATACATCCTCAGACTTCCGAAGATTTGCAGCAACATGGAAGTTCACTCATGTCACTATCTTACCACACTATCCAAAAGCTAATGGAATGGCCGAAAGTGCAGTCAAAACCTGCAAGACTTTAATGAAGAGAGCTCTTCTGTCCCAATCCGATCCATATCTTGGTTCATTGGATCACCATAACACCCCCACTGCAGCGACAGGTATGTCTCCATGCCAACGACTTTTTGGTCGCCGAACTAAGACACTTCTACCCTTCTCAGAGTCGTTACTCAAGACTGACCAAACAGTTAGTGATCTTCTCAAAGGGGATCGTGTCAAGCAAGCGAAACATTTCGACCTGCATGCTAAACAACTCTCAGAACTCAAATCAGGTGCGCATGAAAATTCCTGGAGAAACAAAGTGGTCAAAAGCAGTTGTTTCTTCTAAAGTCGCATCTCGCAGTTACAAAGTTGAAGTCAATCGTAGATTCTACATGCGTAATCGCAAGCAGTTGCGTTCTACCACGGAACCACTTAAAGAAACCCCCTTCAAAATGGACGAAGATTACCTGACTGTTCCGGACAATCTGCAGGAACAGAACCAACCCCCTCTAGCAAGTTCTCAAGTAGAAACATCCACGTCCCCTTCTAGATTTCAACTACACCCAACATCTCAGACAACAGAGCTGAGTGCAAGACCAACTCAAGAAACTACTACAACTGAGATAAGAAAACGACATGGACGACTCATTAGGCCACCTAAAAAGTTTCACATTGGGTTATAGTTAAAAAATAATAGAAAAAGGGAAAGATGTTATGATATGTAGAACCTTCCCGAAGTCAACATTTGCTTTTCTCTTCGACAAGACCGTTCTTGAATGTCGATCAGCTAATCTTTCTTATGTAACTCTTAAAGGTTATGTAACCCTCGAATGTTATGTAACTTTCTTGACTGATTATGTAACCACTTCGGACATTCCAATCTAGTTCTCGAGTTACACGAGTGAACATTGAGATAAGTTAGTCGTTGTCATGTTGTTGTTATATCGTTAGCTCTAAAGGTAACCTGCCTCTCAAGTAATTAAAGTTTGTGTTCAAAGAAGCTTACTGGACTCAGACTCNTCTTTTCTTGGTGTTGATAACTTTTAAATTGTACTCACAATTTTGCCATGGCAAGTGGAAATTTCCATAGAACTGAATTCAGTTTTTTTCCACTACAATCCACACCCATAAAAGTTTGCTGAAAGACGTCACATTCGCACGGGTCTGGGCACTCTAAAATAAAATAAAAAATGTAAAGATGATTTGACTAGCACATCAAAGGCTTGAAATTTGAAAGGATTTAGTCACTTGTTTGGCAAACAAGGAATAGTTCATTTAAAATAAACATATAACATCGCAGTTACCAAGGTTACGCTCGAACACTTCAGTGTAACAGTGTTATTTACCCATACGGAACGAGCATGGTTAAAAATAATTAATTATAGATCAGAACTTTGATCAGAAACACGAACTTCTTTGCGTGGTTAGAACACAGCGGACGAAAACCTCACGGACGTTTACACGATCCGGTTATGAAAAGTAATGACATAGCTCTACGATGCAATGAGACCTCACCTTCAACTCTGAGGCAGATGTCCCTTCTAAATATCTCACCATCGCTTTGTACCTCGCAGCTGTAATTTGCGTTGTTTTCCGACGTTATTTTAAGCTGAAATGTTATGCTGGTACTATTTTGAACAGCGAAACCATCTTTTCTCCATACAACGTATGGAGCCGGCGCACCTTTCACTGGGCACCATAAGTTAGAAGTTCTGTTCAAAAATACATACTGCGTCTTCGGTGCCTGTTCCAGGGTTGGATTGACTATATTGGGTTTCAGAGGAAAAATTAAATAATCGTTGGAATCATTATGGTAAAGAGAACAACTAAACCTTAGACACAGTAGAGGAGGAGAAACAATTTTACTTGCACATTACAATAAATATTATTCTACATTTAATCCTGACACGATTCATGGTGTGTTATGCAAACCGTATTAACATAAGACCTCTATATGTCCTTTTGTCTGTCAGTCTGTATCTCAGATTTGAAGCCATTTAACCGTCGGTAATAATCGCTATTACTCAGA